ACGTACGTATTCAAAATGCTCAACCCCATGAGGGGTGGCGAAATGCTGTCCGTTTTCAAATCATTGTTCATTGCTTTCGCCAAGCCTTTCAAATCATTTGTAATTCGAACACCACAGTTTTGTCGGTTAGATTACAAAGTCGTTGGATAACTTGGATTTCAATTTCCATATAAGTCATGCAACGGTACTCGTGGAAGTTAGAACAGTAAGGAGTGTGATTCTTTGAGCAGGCCTTTCATGAAGATCGAAAGTATTAAATTCATGGGGAGTTTAGGAATGCTCTTGCATGTGATAAAATCTTGTGCACATTCTTCACCTTGGTAACAGCCAATTGCACCGAGTTAGTAGAGTCCTATCCACTAATCGCTCTTCAGGGGTAGCATCATCGTTAAGCTGGAATGTCGTACTTCAATTGCCTGTGATAATTGCCGAGTCTGCAGCACCACGAATATAGAGTCGAGCAGAGTTGAATACCCCGAGGGTCCGCACCCTAAGCGAGGGTCCGCACCCTAAGCCCTAAACCCTAAACCACACCTACTGGTCGGGGGTTGTTAGCACCCTGCAAAAATAAAAGAAAATAGAAGGGTCCAGAACCCCCAATAACCACAACAATACCCCCATACCCGCCCCCAATACCCCCAAACCACCCGGCAACACCCTCACCCCCCCCCTCCCTCCCTCCCCCGCTATACCCACTATACCACTGCTATATCACCGGATGGCTGTTTTCTGACTGGTCAGCAGACCGCTGATCGTTCGGCCCTACCGGTAGGCTGCAAAACCGTCCGCGGTTGGGGTCGGCGGTCGGCAGGCATGCAACCCTGGAGTTGAGCATAAATATAAGGTTTCTCGAGCAGCTCCGCTTCCAAAAGCCCTACGGTAGTCTATGATCAACCAGATCTGTGGAATTTTTTTAAGCAATCTCTGATACCCAATACATACTTATAATGGAGATTCATCAATACAGCCGAATAGAATGATTAGAATCTAATATATTAGATTCTATTCAGGTGTATTGATGGATCTTTTGACAATTGTGGAAATCAATAATCAAATGATAGTCTTCAAGTAAAATAAACTGATAAAAACTTGAGCAATGAATGAATTTAAAATTCCTACAATAAATACTCAAAATTGAAAAAATCCAAAGAGCAGCACCTGAAAATACAGCATTTTCAGTATTTGACTAGCCTTCTGGAGATGCAAGTATAACTGGTACACCAACAACCAGAATGAAACAAATAGCTACTAGTGCAAATAAGGCAAAGCCCCTGATCAAAGAGCATTATTGGATTGCGTCATCTGTCGGAAGCGGCAGTATTAAGTGGCCAAGTGTTCCAGGGGCAGGCATCTTCCAAAATATGCATCTTGCTTTCCCTTTTCTCTGGCATTCGAAAGACCGCAAACGCCAATGAGACCAACCTTTGCCCCGCGATATGGACACAGGTCACGGCAGCCTCAGCTCTACATTTCTGGGGAACATGCGCTAGCGAAGAAATTACTGTTGTACTGTACAGCGCAACTGTCACTAGCAGCAGGCAGAAGTGGCAAGATTGGAGATAATCTTGCTACCAGATTATCCGACAAGGAAGACATAGACAAAGACCGTCTTGTCCTGACTCCGAAGGTTCTGGACATTCTGCTTGCGTCCGTTTTTTCTAGTGAACCACCGCTCATACGTTCCTGAACGACCGCATAAGATGATGATGTCTGCTGCAAATAAATGTACGCTGCAAAAGTTGCCATGCACTGCATTTCTGACCATTGCTCACAAGAAAGATAGTTTTTGTCATCCATTGCATTTCTGACCATTTCTAGACAAAGACCGTCTTGTTCTCATACCGCAAATACTTCATGATGGACCATCATTGCATGGAACAAGAAAACAAACAAGAAAACAAACAAGAAAACAAGAAAGCGTTCAGCAGCAAACAGGAAACAGGGAAAACAAGAACAAGACAAGGAGGAGAAGAAGAAAGAAGAATGGGGAGGAGGAGCAGGAGTAGGAGCAGGAGGCGGAGGAGAAGGAGGAGGCGGCGGAGGAGGAGGAGACCTTATCTGAGCTGGAGACATGGCAAGGTCTGAAAGATAATGTCAAAAAAATATTATTATTTACTGACGGTGTGTCTGACGCCAAAAAGCCAAAGAAACAGTGCGATGGAGAAGATGGCCATCACTTTGTATCTGGTCGGTAAAACAACGTTCGCAGAAAGAAATGAAGAATGAATCTCCAAAGCTACAGAGTTCGGACAACCCTGCCCTGCACTCCACTATATTCTCCCTCCTCCCACCCCCACCCCTTTTCGGGTCTTCTACCTCCTCTATCCTTGGTGCAGGTGTATGCACACAACCAACATGCACACAAAAGTCCGCACAAGCCCTGGGAGCTCCTCTCTCTTAGCAACACAGTGCGAGAAAGGGAAAGCCGCAAAACAAAAACACCTGTCGACTTTGTCGCCAGGTTAGAAAGAAGGAATGTCGCGACTTAAATCCCCGTGGCTTAGAAGCGGACAGCACTGCCAGTGTCTGCTTGGAAAAGATGCTTCACGCGCGACAGGATAGAATCTTGAGACGGGCCGTAGGGGTGCTCCTTGCTCGGAATTTCCAGGATTGCCGGGACGGGCTTCCGGTAGCTATCAATAACGAAGCGAATCATATTAGCCACCTGCAGTAGAACATGGACAGTGCACGCCGAGCAGTTGTTAGGTTTTTTTGAACTTTTTTCCCAAACTTCTTTTTCCAGTTGGTCTGACTGACTCAATCTACAATCTATTGAATCTAATCATCTCACTACAACTTCAAGTTGGCAATTCGCTCATTTAAAGTCATTTTGCTTTTAAGATGGGAGGAAAAGAAAAAACAACATACCAAAAAAAAAACAAAAAAAACTAAGGTACAGGGGCAGCGGGACAGGGGTTTGGAAATTGGTGCAGGGGGGGAAGAGCAGGAGGAGCAGCGGGAGGAGGAGGAGGGAGGAGCAGCAGGAGGGCGAACGGGAGAAGGACGATCCACCAT